CTACTCGATAAGAAATAAAAGATATCTACTCGATAAGAAATAAAGAATATCTACTCGATAAAAAATAAAGAATATCTACTCGATAAGAATAAAAGATATCTACTCGATAGAAATAAAAGATATCTACTCGATAGAAATAAAGAATATCTACTCGATAAAAATGAAGAATATCTACTCGACAAGAAATAAAGAATATCTACTCGATAGGAAATAAAAAATATTTCTATGTAGTATATCTAGTATTTCGGAGATATGCCATATTTTTATTTTTAGCGGACAAATTAAAAATTAAGGTTCAAAACTTTTCATGGACTCTAACCTTTCTCCGACTCTTTATTAAAAATTAAAATCCTTTCTGAAATAGCAAAATAGTAAATATGTTAGGGTAACATTAAGATATTCAGGCTTCAGCTTCTCCTCTTCAATATTTGCCAACTTAAATCTGGCAACAGATCAGACATTGGACCACCCTCCCCCCTTTCATACCTTCCTAAGGCCCATTGTAGAAAAACACTATACTGTGAAAATTATATGAGTTGAGGAAATATAAGATGTTGTAAGGAATTAGAACTCTTGGGACAAAACAGAAAATAATCTTAATATTCCGGATGTCTCTAATAACAGTAATAACCAGAGCGAGATGCATTCGGTTTCCTCTATTTGAAATCAATCACGTGTTGGTCTAAAATTTTACAATCTTTAAACTTACGATTTTGGCATTTAAACTTTTTCGTTTAAAAGGGTTCGATCCTGATCCCGAGTTCTCTGGGATCAGGATCAAACCCTTGAATCCGCGTGGCCAGAGCCTCGATCTGAACCGATTCTTAAAACATTTTATAATTGTCCATGACAAATTGTCTATTACTGAAACAAATAATGCAAGCTTTAATTTAGAAAATCCTGTGATTTAATGCATTATTATTTTTCTTTTTCTGTAATTACTGCCGGATTCTAACTTTTTTTAACGATTTTCTTTTTTTAAGCCACTTAGAGTTTATTTTTTGCTTGGCAATATCTAATATAAATCGGCAAATATTCATAAACAATTTTGTGTTCAAACAAATGAAAAAAGGTTTAGAAATGAGACTCTGGCATTACCTTCTGTTAAGGCATCCTTTACACATATGTATAATTTTCATGTATATTCTAAACTGGAATATAATAGAAAAAGTTTAAAACTTAATGATTTCAAAGATTGAAAATCATGGCAAGTATGTTTATTTAAATGTAGAAAGTTTTCCAATTCAATTTGGAAATATCATGTGGGGCGCTCTATAGGAGAAAAAGTATTCAAAGAATTATTGATTAAAAAATTAAATTGATAAACTCACTTTTTGATATCCGCCCCCCCCCCCATTTCTTCGAGATATGTTCATTCCAACCGAAATTAGAAAGATTTGAATATCTCAGATTTTGGGATTCTAGGATTCAGGACGGATCTACTCCATTAAGCAAATCCTTAGATTTCATTTCTAGATACTGGATATTCAACAGTAGATATATAGCAGATATATAGTAGAGTAGCAGATACAGTAGATATATAGTAGAGTAGTATATAGTAGAGTAGTATATATAGTAGATATATAGTAGAGTAGTCGATACAGTATATACATAGTAGATATATAGTAGATATGTAGTAGAGTAGTCGATACAGTAGATATATAGCAGAGTAGTAGATACAGCAGATATAGAAGATATATAGTAGATATATAGTAGAGTAGTCGATACAGTAGATGTATAGTAGAGTAGTAGATACAATATATATATAGTAGAGTAGAATATAAAGTAGACATATAGTAGAGAAGCAGATACAGTAGATATATAGTAGAGTAGTATATACAGTAGATATATAGTAGAGTAGTATATAAAGTATATATAATATATAGTAGATACAGTAGATATATTATAGAGTAGTATATACAGTAGATATATAGTAAAGAAGTAGATACAGTAGATAAATAGTAGAGTAGTATATACAGTAAATATATAGTAGAGTAGTATATACAGTAGATATATAGTAGAGTAGTATATACAGTAGATATATAGTAGAGTAGTATATAAAGTAGATATAATATATAGTAGATACAGTAGATATATTATAGAGTAGTATATACCGTAGATATATATATAGTAGAGTAGTATATATCGTAGGTATATAGTAGAGTAGTAGATACAGTAGATATATAGTAGAGTAGTATATACAGTAGATATATAGTAGAGTAGTATATATAGTTTATATAATATATAGTAGATACAGTAGATATGTAGCAGAGTAGTAGATACAGTAGATATATTATAGAGTAGTATATACAGTAGATATATAGTAGAGTTGTATATAAAGTAGATATAATATATAGTAGATACAGTAGATATATTATAGAGTAGTATATACAGTAGATATATTATATAGAAGAGAAGTAGAATCCTGAGATAAAGCATCCCTGAAATATATTTTCCTGAAGAAATCTGAAAATATGAAAGTATATTTTACGAAAATTAAACACATTATTCTTCCTCGGCATCATAACTCGCGGTGAAAGAACTCAAACTGTTGGAGCTGATTTATCCAATTTTTTCTCCTTTAAGGGACTGACAACGAAATTCAATTGTAAAAAATAAATCTATTTCCAAACAAACCTTACAGATATTACAACCTATAATCATCAATTTTTTTCGACGCATTCATATAAAGTTGATATTTCATAATATTTTGTACTTGTTTCATAAACGATGAACTTTAAACGACGATTTTTTTGTCGCTAGGTGTCGTTGGAGTCTCTTCCAGTTGGAGCCCCAGAGGCCAAAATTTAAGACAGGGTATCGTTGTGAAAACCAGTTTTAGAACCCGGGTTTTACGAATGAGGTTAGGCAGTTTTGTGAATATCAATATTTGCTTTATGAGATATTATTTTATTTAGTTCATTCATATTCTCCATTTTTTTCGAATCTCTTAAATCAAAATCTACACAAATGTTAACACCCCAAAATCTACACAAATGTTAACACCCCAAAAAGGAAACTCAGAAGTTTCCTTTAAAATTCGGACTCAGAAGCATCGAGAGCAGAGACACCAAGTAATCGTCCTTTTTAGTATATTGTACATGAAACAACTAAAAAAATTGTGAAATATCGACTATATATGCGTAAAAAGAAAATCTATGATTACAGGTTGTGATATCTGAATGATTTCTTTGGAATTTAATTGATTTGTTTACGATCCCAGTTGAATAGTGCAACTTTCTGAATTTGTACGGACTCTACGTTCTTCGGTGTGAGTAGTTTTTAACAATTTTCTCCTTATAGAGGCAACAGTATAGAAGTAGGATTTGTAGCAATCACCATCGAATATTTTTCGAAGTAAGACCATACCCCCTTTTATTTTTCGCGAACACTCCCTTTAACCTCCCTTTGTTGTATGAATAATCATCTGGTCGATAATATTGGTGTAAACGCGGTAAAATAATTGATAATTATTGAAGATACATGGAGATCCATGAAACATGAGTTAACTGCAACAGCTATAAATACAAGAATTCTGTTAAATATTAGATAACTATTAATGATACAGAGAGATCCAATAATCATAGAAGGTCACTGACAATTTTCAACTAGAGGACTATAGAAAATACACGGATTTTCATAAAACATGGGAGTAGGTTAGTGAAAATTTTAAATTCGTTATTGATATTAAATATCTATAAAATCTGTGATGATCTTATATCATGCCTTAGAAAAAATATTGACGTGTGCAAGGACGGAGGGGGTGCAGGGCCGCCATGAGCCCCAAAAAATTAACTCTGGAGCATCCTAATACGCAGGATAGCCTTTAAGCAAGGTAAACCGTCTCCTCGCCTCTCGCTACATCTCCAAGCCTCCGTCATTCTGTCTTCATGTCCCGCATTTTGTTCTCCAATTAAAGATATTTGGCCTTTATCTACTATCACAAAAAAGCTTTTTTTAATTATCTCAAAATACGGGGTGTCCCACGAAACATGACAGCTGGACCTGGTAACAAGTTTGAATGTGTCATTCCAACGTATATACCAGATATTATCGACTTTTTGCGGTTGCCTTCGTTAAAATAAAGGTTTTTAAATATATTTTACTTAGAAATCAATTTTACTATATGATCCTATACAATATTTTTTATTATTCTCTTTGATATCTAACAGCTTATCAGATTATGGAAGAAGACATCCATACTAAAACCAACTGTCATGTTTAGTGGGACGCCCTGTATATTAACACCAATCACAAAACAAATAGTTTTTGTAAAATACTTTAATAGTATGCTTTGAGTAAACTTTTCACAAGTAAATAAGCTAAGATCAATTAAATTACTCAATATTTGAACTCTGTGGATTAAACGATTCTTTAAACTGTTGTGGATTCTAATATGAAGAGATATATTTTGATTTTTAAATGGTTAAGCCATAAAAGTTAAATAAAAATAGATACAACCAACAGAGATAAAAATGCAGAGGCTTGGAGACGTAGCAAGAGGTAAGGAGACGGTTTTGCGAAGCTTGGAGGTCCTTCGGTGGGGCCCATGATCTTTATGCACTCCCTTACTCGTGCGAGATGTCTGTACAATATCTTTACCCAGATAATAAACCCGGCGGTTTCCGAATAATGTTAGTCTTATTAACGCGGCAGAAAAGATTATAGAACGCGCGCTGATAAGACAGTTTGTACAGCTGGAAACTGTGAATTTAGTGAATTATTTATTAGCTTTGAGAAATTGTACAGTCTCCTAAACATTGGACAAAGGCCAACATGTATAATATACTTTTAAAGAAGAAAGTTGGTCTATAGAAATCATCCAATTCCCTTAGCATATTTAAATCAGATTTAGAACACTCCCGTAGTTCTACCGAGCTTCTGAATCAGAATTCGTGGCAAATAAATTTTTCAAAATGCAAAATAATATACAATGATCAAATAATTAAGTTTTATTTTGAGCCATCTACTAATCTAAACAGGATTAAGAGATACATCGATAAAATCAATTTTAATTTTATTTTTCATTTTAAAATCAAATCCCACTTTAAGGACAGAGTATAGGGTTAAAGTCATTAATTTTATCTCATTTTCGTAAATATTTTAAAACATAATAACTACATTTATAACATTGATAGAGCTACAGACGTATCACATTCAGTTTAAACATATTTTATTTAGAGTATTTTAAAATCTTAAAAATTATCCACAAAAATTTTATATTCTGCTTTCTGCAGTCATGATTTAAATGGGGTCGAGTTACCTTCCGGTTTTCATAACTGTAAGCGTAATTTCAAGTGACCCTGAAGAGCAGATTACAGATAATTGTTTTAATCTTATAATTTCTCCATTGTTTCTTAAAAGCAATAAATGCGCAAGTCACATTTGCAGAGAAACCATAAATGAAAATTAACTGCTAAAAAAAACTTGGATATTTATTATTTAGTTCATACACACTCTGTTAAATATTTTCAGGGTGTCGTTGTCAATCTTTACATGGAGAGTCACTTTAAATTACGCTTACAGTCACTTAACACAAAAATGAAAGTTTGCTGCTGGTGTAATGTCAATAAATATTTTGGAACATCAAATCGTTAGAAGGATAGAATCAAAATCCATTAAACTTTAATTTGTCTTTAGAACAAATACATCCCTTGAATGTTGAATCCTAATATTAAGAACACTGTGCAGTAAAGCTGTAGTGAGTGTAGTGTATACTAGTATATTCTGTACTGAAGAGTTTAGTATTTGTAATAACAATTGTCTAATGTCAAGTTTTGTGTCTAATAAAATTGCTAAATGCCAGTGTCTAGTATTCAATGTGGCTATTATTCAATATGTTTAGTATTCAATGTCTCTAGTATTCAATATGTCTAGTATTACATGTGTCTAGTATTCAATATGTCCAGTATTCAGTGTGTCTAGTATTCAATATGTCAGGTATTCAATGTGTCTAGTATTAAATGTTTCTAGTATTCAATGTGTCTATTATTCAATATCTAGTATTTATTGTGTCTAGTATTCAATGTGTCTATTATTCAATATCTAGTATTTATTGTGTCTAGTATTCAATGTGTCTTGTATTCAATGTGTCTAGTATTCAATGTGTCTAGTATTCAATATGTCAAGTATTCAATATGTCAGTATTCAATGTGACTAGTATTCAATGTCTCTAGTATGTGTCAAGTATTCATTGTGTCTAGTATTCAATGTGTTTAGTATTCAATGTGTCTAGTATTCAATGTCACTAGTATGTGTCAAGTATTCAATGTGTCTAGTATTCAATGTATTAAGTATTCAATGTTTCTAGTATTCAATGTGTCTAGTATTCAATGTGTCTAGTAATCAATGTGTCTATTATTTAATGTGTCTAGTATTCAATGTGATTAGTATTCAATATGTCCAAGGAAAGATAAAGACAAAGATGAAACCATATTATTCAGGAGAGATATAATTTTATCCCTATTAGTTTTCATGAATATAAAATAATAACGGATGTCCAATGTCCCACATGTCCACCATGTTTGAAATGTCCAGTATGTTTAAAATGTCTATCCCAAGATGTCTTCATTAGTATCACAAGTGTAAACAAACCAGGCCAGTACGAGACACTGAAATAAAACATTTATCAAAATCAGTTCAACTTGAAACATAAACAAACATTAAATAAATAAAAAATTTAAAAATTCTCTAAGTTGAAGTTTGATTGAATTCAAATGGGTTGTTCTCAAGGGATAGAATGATATTGATCTATTATTATTATTACTATATCAATAAAGGGGGGGCACAAAGCGTTTAACTCTCCTGAAAATTTAAACAGTGTTTAAACTAACTAATTTTTTGCATGTGAACTCAAGAATATTTATTGTAACTGCAAATTTCAGTTTTATAAAAATCCGAGCAAAGCGCGCGCGCGCACTATTTTTGTTGGAAAAGGTTTCTTTTTTTACATCTTTGCAATTTTGGCACTTTTGCTCGGATTTGTACAAAACTGAATTTTGCAGTCACAATACATGTTTTTGAGATCACATGCAAAAGAACATCGTTGACAAGGGACTGTCCTGGTAATTCTATTGCAGTGCGGCACACCCAATTCACAACGGTAACCCTGAAACCTTAATCAGATTTAACAATGTTGTTTTCCTAGCTTGAAAAGTTTTTATTTCTGTTTCTAAATTGTCTGTTTGGTGTGTTGTTTAATGGGACACGTCTACCGTTAGGTTCAAAAATAAAGAGACATCGGATTCGGAAGAATAAATAAAACGTCGTATTCTTAACTTTCTTACAATGGAATGCTGCAGATGTTTAGTTTTTTGATTAAACGATTATACTGAGCTCTTTAGAACTGTTCCCGCATATTCATGGCTTTTTTATTTATTTTTTTGCAATTACTGAGATTTACGTTTAATAGCGTAAAACCCAAGGTAGTCTACATACCTAGATATAACCCATTGAAAAATTATCAAGACGACATTTAATAAATACTTTTGATTTTTCAAAATCTGCAGGGTACACTGTAGTATAACCCTAGATATGCAGAAACACTTCTTTGCAAAGTGTAAAATGTGGTCCTCAGGTAAGAATATAATTAATATTTGTTGAAAAATATTCTTTCCGTAAACTTTTCTTTTCTAATTAGTGGTGTATAGTGTGTACTGTGTATGTACCTTTCAGCGGCATATTATTACTCTTTATATATCTGGCGTACACTCTGAATCAAAACACTTTCATGGTCGACTATGATTCACTAAAACCAGAACAGACATGGTAAATTGGTTGGAGCTCGACCATGAAGCTCCACGTAACATAGCCTTCATGACATCAAACTTTGACTGTAGGTTGAATGGATTGAATGATACCAATGATAATAATAGCTAGCTGAAGTGACCGGCGTTGCCCGTGGAATTTTAGAAACTCGAAAAAATTTTATGGTCTTTGTTTCCCCTGGGGTACTTAAGGGGTTAAAAAATTTGGTCCAGCCGTTTGGTCATCTCTAGCTAACATATATACAAATATATATGTATTATGTATATATATATATGAGCGAAGAGCTTTATTATAAAGAAAATAATAATAATCATAACTAACCAGAACTAGAGTATGTATACTAAAGTGTGAGAAGAGATAACTTCCAGCTTTCTTTACTAAACTACCAAGATAAACACCGTCCTGGGACTAAACAATAATCAACAAGTAGATCAATCAATCAATCTCTTCATCAAACAGTAAATAAACAAATCAATTAATAATTCAATCATTCAAATAAAAATTTACCGCTAATTTATTTATATAAGAATATTTCTAAATCAATAAATTAATTAATCTAAAAATCCGTAGAAATTTGTTGCTTACGAAAATGTATAAAAATTTTCAATTTTAATTGATTGAACCCATTACAAAGAACATCCACTTTTAACTAAACAAATATAAAATCAATAAAAACTGTTCCCGGACAAGTATGAATTTTATCAACGATTCCCCACAGTAAGTATAACCCCTTTTATAAAATAAAAAGTTTAAACTATCTAATATATGAACTGACCCTGTTTGGAAGGAAGGTAGGGAACACGAAGAGAGGAAGACAGGTCAGACAAATCATTAGAAAAAGATCAGAATATCTGTATCCAAACCTTTCACCTGAATAGTATAAAGGTGTATATTTGTTAGTGTCCCATGGACAGGGAAACGTTATAAATTCTCCATTTTTTCTATTTTTTGTAACACATTTATCAAAGTTACATCCCTACGATTATGGTTTCCCGGCTATATATTGGAATTTTGACGGGCCATAAACCTTACTTGTGGTCATGTGAGGTCTTACAAATTCGAACTAAAGACAACCCAATAAGTATACTGGGCCTGAAATGACAGGCCATGGTTTTGAAGAATAATAACTAAAATGAATGTGATGTAATTTTTGTGAATAATAGTAATTACATATGATACAGTTAATAATGATAATAATCAGAATATAAAAAAATGATGATTCTGATACTAATAATAATAACAATAATAAAACCTCCTCTGTCTGCATTGATGAGAGAATGTATTTGACTGATACCAGCAGCAACAAGGCTGAGGAAGAAGAGAATAAAATAAAATGTTGAATCTAGGGCCTCAGATCCTTGCTTCTCATACTCATCTCATAAAACAAAAACATTTAGAAATAATTCTAAAAGGGACTGTAAGCATCATTTTCACTGACCCTCCATGCAAAGTTAGCAATGCCGGACTTACAACTTTCTGGCTCAAAAAGTGTTTATGAGCAAGAAATACGCAAGTCCCGTTGGAAGAGAACCCACAGTTGAAAATAACAGTTTACTTTAACAAACACATTGACATCAAATTTATACCTAATCAGGCTTTCAGGGTACCGTTGTGAATTGGGTGTTGCGCTATTGCCATCTTTGCACGGAGGGTCACTTGAAATTATACGCTTTCATTTTACCAGGTCTTCTCCGTCCAAAACTAACTTTTTATAAAGATTTTGTAACATTTGAACTCTTTTCAACTATTAATAAGTGGAAACAAACAATTTGATTCTTTGTAACAACAAACTTTAAGTGCAGGCCCGATTTTAGGACTAAGAATGTAGATTAGGTGTCCGTGTCGGATCGACCTAATCTCTGGTTTGACAAACATCAGAAGAGTAAAAAGATAACCTAGATAACATGCTACAATCATAGTTAAATAGACACATACGTACATTGGACAACAAATTGATAGCACAGAAACTGTTTCTTGAGATGCTATGCTATTGTGTATGTTTATCTATCCAGCACTAATTGCTTCTAGATGTACATTGTACACAAAAGTATGACATATCATGAGGAATTTTATGTACTTTTTATTTGCTGTTCACCCATCTATTCATACACCTATTCGTTTTGATGCGGATCCGGATCCCGGATCCGTCCTAAAAAATGTATCCGAATCTTTATTTATTTAAATTTAAACAATTGAGATTTGTGTTTAAGAACAAAGACTTTTTTGCAGACTTTGGTCGATATTTTACCCCTTGGATCTGGATCTGTGAATCCGCATATTTTTACGGATCCGGATCCGGATGGTCAAAGTCCATTAATTGTTGAGGTTACCTGGACTCCTCTCTATCTGAGGTGTGTGTAAGTCCTCCTCTGCAGAATCGCCTGAAAAATATTAGAGTAAGACAAGGGGGTGTAACATAATCACTTTGTGTTGTAAATCTCAAGATAAAGCATATTGATCTCTATCCCGCAGTGGTCATACCATGCAGGGATAACTTGGATTAATGTATTAATAGTTTCTCCTCAAATTTGAAAAGATGTGTGTTCAGGAATACACTAAAGTTCAGAAAATAACATTAAAGTTCAGAAAATTTCAGAGATTTCCCTGTTTTTACATTTTCAGAAAATCTATATTTAATTTTTTTGAACAAAACTTATTAATTTTGTTAATCGTACACAAACAAACAACGCAAATAGAAACATATAAAACTAGCCTGATAGTTCCTGAATATGATCAGTAAGGTTAGTTGTATCCCCCGCCTCCCTGCTGGTCCCGAGGAGGGTGTAGATGATGGTGGGAAGGAACTCCAAGGTGCCGAGCATACAAGCGAATATCAAGATATTGATGATATTAGCAAACATAACCGGGGGGATGTAGTAGGGAATCTGATGCAAGATGGTTCGGATATACTCAACATGGTTATCTTGCACTAACAACCTTAATAATAATAATAATCATAATGACAATAATGATAATAAAATCAATAAAAATATTTTTTTTTAAAGTTATTGTTATTGTTTTCATGTTTTAAAAGTTTAATAAAACTAGTTATTGAGCTTTGAATTTTGATACTTCTGTAAGAAATGTATTCTAATAAAAACCAAATTGAACATGATGAATAACCAACTCATGTTTTCGCATCAAAAGATTATATTGGAAACCTGTATTTAATAAATTTGAGCTAGGTCTAGAGACGGTTCAACCACGTTTCTTAAATCGGTGATTAAGGATTTGTACATGATTTAGAAGTTTATAATTTTAGATGTATTGGACTAAAAATAATCCATGAAAAAGATTCATTAATATCAAAATTTTCTTTTCTTATACTTTGTGAAATTTTAACCGTGAGAGAAGATATTTTCATGAACGGAGCAAAAAAAGGAAGCAAAGAAATGATCGTTCATCTGGTTCGTTTTTTATTCCGTTCACGCAAATATCTTCTCTCCGGGTTAAATTTTACATTGTGTAAAAGAAGCAAATGTTTAGAATAGACAGTTTTGAAATTGATAAAACTTCTCAAAATTTTGTGGAAACTTTTATGTCCATAAATCTTAAAAGTCTTAAAAAACGAACGATATCAAACGCCGAATTCTAGATAAAGGGAGCTTTAGAAAAGTTGAATGGGTTGCAGTTAGATCAGCGACACATCACAAAGTCGATCACGACCCAGCAAAAATCATTAAATTTGGTCTCCAGAAATATGGCCAAAATATAGCGGTTTCTTAGAACTGACTAGTTGCTACCTATTGCCTCCAAGAGGACGACCTCTGATAAGATTTCTCCAGCCTGGAGTCCAGGGTAGAGGATAGGAGAAAACTGGGGTTGATCTCTCAAACTTCTTTCTCCTGGATACAAAGGGAAATATTTTGTTGAAAAATACTTCCTTCAATTAAATAAATTTAACGAGGAATTTCCTTGCTAAAATTAACTTTTTTCCAGTAGGAAATGTTTAGGTTTTCATCGCTGAAATTTCTAGGGTTTAACGCTGGATTCTTTCTCCTAGATAAAACATCTTAGAAATCATTTCCCCTTCCCCTGCTGTTTTTTATTATTAATTTTACTACAGTGAGCTGTGAGATCAAGTAAACTGTAGAAAAGAAAAACGATTGTTAGATTTAACATAAATAGTCATGAGAACGTGATCTACAGAAATTGTGCAATTGACTCAGAACCGTCTCATTTGATAAGTTGGTTATTAAGCAACCATTATAACTATTTCTTTCATAACAGGATCAAAAACTCAAAAGATTTCTTAAAAGATTACTTTTTGCAGAGTTTTATGAATCTCACTATAAATCATTAAAAAAGACATTAAAAGTTTAATCAACAAAATATACGGGAATTTTGTATATTATTATCGGAAGTTTTTGTTTCATGTATTAATATCAAATTTCTAACCGTAGATATAAAGCTTCGTGTTCTTCTCTGATTTCTCGAGATGTTGCCTGCAAAACCACAAATAAAAATTCATTCGTAATATTCCCTAAAAATATTACCGCAAGATGTTTACAGAAGCGTATTCTAGTTCTGCAGAGGGGACATTTTGTATTCATTGGATTCTTCTGCCCTAGTCGCCTCAGACAGGGTTCACAGAATATATGGTGGCATGGTTCCGTCTAAATACAGAATATATGATGACATGGTTCCGACTAAGTACAGAATATATGATGACATGGTTCCGACTAAATACAGAATATATGGTGACATGGTTCCGTCTAAATACAGAATATATGGTGACATGGTTCCATCTGAATACAGAATAAATGATAAGGTTCCTTGGAAAGGTTCATGAAGAGGTCTAATATCTGGAAAGGTTCATAAAGGAGGTCTAGTACCTGGAAAGGTTCATAAAGGAGGTCTAGTACCTGGAAAGGTTCATGAAGGAGGTCTAGTACCTGGAAAGGTTCATGAAGAGGTCATATATCTGGAAAGGTTCATGAAGGAGGTCTACTACCTGGAAAGGTTCATGAAGGAGGTCAAGTAACTGGAAAGGTTCATGAAGGAGGTCTACTACCTGAAATGGTTCATGAAGAAGGTCTAGTACCTAGAAAAGTTCATGAAGGTGGTCTACTACCTGGAAAGGTTCATGAAGAAGGTCTAGTACCTAGAAAAGTTCATGAAGGTGGTCTACTACCTGGAAAGGTTCATGAAGAAGGTCTAGTACCTGGAATGGTTCATGAAGGAGGTCTACTACCTGGAAAGGTTCATGAAGGAGGTCTAGACAAACTGGACAAATTATATCCTCTGGTAGATCTCCCAGCTCTGGTTCTGCTTCAAGTAGTTCCCTGAGCTAAAATATAAGATCAGTTTAAAACCAGTCCCAGGACAATTTAATTACAGTTCATGAACAACTTTAAATCCAGCCCAGAAGAAAAGATCGCCATTAGCAAGTTGAAAATATGAGTATGCTTTGTAGTAAGGGGGGGGGGATTCTATTAAAAGAGGGGGGGGGGGGTAATATTGAATTTACGGAGAAGGACGCAGCCCGCCCGCCCGAAAGCTGGTCCTATCGGAGACATTTTTGAACTGTTATGATTTTTCAATATTCGAATAAAATTCATTTTGATTTTAATTATATGTGCAAAATGCAAATGTTACAAAATTTTATGAAAACAAGAATAAAAACAAACAGGAAAATAGTTCGCTTTTTACCTTGGCTTCAACACGTTCATTCTTAGACTCTATTTCCCGCATTCTTTTCTTTTCTCGTTCTCGTCGTCGCTGTCGTCTTTTCACTTTCCGAGTATATCGCCGGCCACGGGGAATATCTTCCTCGGACGATTCCTGAAAAACGTGTAATGACGATTTCTTCCAAGGGTTATTTAATGTCAGGTTTTCTGACCCTAAAGTGACCTCGCGTTTTAACGTCCGACTATTTTAATGAAAATTCTGCAATTCTACAAAAGCAGTCCTTAGGATCCATTTATTTTTGATGCGGAACAAAAAATAATTCTCAAATTTTTTCGCTTATTTTATATCCTAAAACTTGATGAACCATTCAGAAATGGGGAAATTTTTATAATCTCTTGCTTCAAAGTTTAGATTTGGGTTTTAGGAGTAAAAAGTTTTTTTTTGTGCAGTTTTTGGTTGATATTTTACCCCATGGATCCGCATATTTTTGCGGATCCGGATCCATGTAGCCAAAATCTTGCGGATCCAACAGACCCGGATCCGCAAGATTTTGTTTGCTTGTATAAATCAAAGCAGGTGTTTGCTTGTATAAATCAAAGCAGGTGTTTTGTTAATTGAAAAATGTCGGAGGTCCTAGTTAATGACTTTTTGAAAAAAAACCGAATAATTATAAAAGGAAAATTTAAAAGAACATAACATCGAAAGTTTTTTCTTTAGTTTTGTATTAGAAATTAAAAATGATTCTTACGTGCTGTGTGTCATCAGATGAGGAGCTTTGCTGTTCATCTTCAGGTGTATTTTCAGACAATACTAAATCATAAATAAAAATACCAATTTCTGACTATTTTGGGCTTTTAATATATCAAGATTTCAATAAAAATAAACAAATACCCTAACCTATTCAAAATTCTATATTCTTTCCTTCTCTTTCTAAACTTAACATGACATATATCTGAAAAAAAGGCAATTATTGTTCTTGTTCTTCCTACTTTCCTGTACCTTCGCTCATATCTCCGTCTAAAGATCTAAGATTGAGAGAGGAATTTGCGGCATTCTGGGGATTTTCTCCAGAACTTTCGGGGATTTCTTGCGAGGAGGAAAACCCTGACTGTTCCTCTCTTGGCCTTGGTTCAACTAGCACTGTATTGGACACCGGACTCCAAATATCAACCTTAATTATTTTAACTTGTAAAAATGTATAATTATTTCATAATAAATAAAAATTGTGAAACATCACAGTTGGTGAATAGTTCTGAATGTTTTCTTCCATAAATTGTATTATTTATATATAAACACTTTTGCAATTTATTTCGTTAAAATATCTTTTATTACATATTTTTGACTTTGAAATAAATACTATAATAACACTGCCAAATAATATTTTTTTTATTATCTTTGGTATCGAAATGATGGAAATAGACATTTTAAACTATTCATCAACTGTCATCTTTGAAACTAAGCGATTGTTTTTTTCTTAAAAATTTAAATAGTTAAAAATAGAATTTAAAAAAAGTTAAAATAATGAACGACCCACCTTGCTTTTGACTATATAGATCGGTTCGGAATGTCCACTTACAAAATCAAATCCTAAAAAATTAAGTCGATAAAAATATTATTATTAAAATCCGATTAATTTTAAGATTTTGACTCTTCGCGATTTGTTTGTTATATGATCCATTATCAAACACCAGGTGCATAATCAGAATTTTTCCAGGGTCTTACATTTTTTTCTTACCAGGAGGGGGGTGGGNCTACGCCTCAGTCCATCCAAAACAATAACAAAAATTATATTGGAGCTAATTAATTACCTCCAATTCTGGAGCCACATTCACTTGGACAAGATAACTTTCCTTTAGTCCATCCACTCTAAATAATAAGTTTTTAAAATCTTTTGAAATAATTAAAATTATTTTTTGAGGGTTTCTTACAATATTCGATTAAAAAAATGAATGGATATAAAATATTAAGTAAATAAAACAGAACCTTTAAATTTTTTGCTAAATAAAAAAAACGACACCTCCCGCCAATTCAAATATCAAAATATCAAAAACAGTCCCCAGGGGAGGATTTTATACAGTCTGTAGGAAAAATAGGGCGAGGAAAACGTTACCGACCAGTTCAACACTTGACAGACTTTAAACTGATAAAGTTTGTGAATAGATTTTAAGTGATGGGTGAGTGGTGACCTGTAAAAATATATCAAGCAGTCTCCTTCTAGTGATATTGACATACATCAACAAACAATTATGAAACAAAATTATTAAGCTATGAAGCATAAATTTTTTTGAAAGTTACAAAATCTACCAAAATTACCACATTCAAACTCTTAATGCCACAGACCTCTACTGGAGAGAAAATGAACTATACAGACAATTGACTAGCTGTATGAGATCATTGGAACCTTAGACAACAACTTTGAGGTTATAAATTGCTCCCGTATTACAATTTTCATTTACTCACCGTAATAAAAATGTAAAAATTTATTAATTCTGAATTTTTTTTTTTTGCCGGGAACTTGCTACTTTTAAATATTTGAAAAAATTTAGCAATTTGAGCATGCTTATTATAATGATAATTGTGAATTCTAAGAGAATGCTAAAACGACCGTTTTTTGACTTACATTGTTTGGTAGATAATATCTTTAATTACCTCGTTTAAATACCGTGAACACACCCTTTAATTACCTGTTCTACCGCTGTGCTGACCCAAGTGGGTAGCTGGTCCTCTGCAACACTGTAAATATTTCCCTCCTCAGATTCTGTGCTTGACCTTTAAAATAAAAAGAGTAACAAAAATTAAAATAAGAAGAGTAAAAAATTAAAATAAGAGTAAAAAAATAATTAAGAGTAAAAATTTAAATACAAGAGTAAAAAAATTGATGTCAAATCACAGGATATAATTTGTCACCAACATTTTTTATGCTTTTTCACAGAATATTATTTGAATGTAAGAAATAATTAAGCTTTTTTACACAACAACTTTTTTTGGTTCAACTTAAACAGCCGCCCCCTCCCCCCTCCTTCTTAAAAGAAAAGTCTCACATTTCTGCAGAAACTAAAGAAGATTTCTAAAATATTCTTTATTTATTTTTCCAATTGGATTCTTTGGATTTTTCAGAATCTAATTTAGGTTCAGTCCTACAGTGTAGGATTTATATAATAAACTATATAATTTGTATATTCCCTAAATAAACATTTTTTGAATGGTTTTCAAGAGTAATTTCCTACCTGAAACCTGAAGGAGGATTTTCAAGAACAACAGCACGGCATTTTTTACATTTAAGCTTTGAGATTGTAGTAGTTTCATCTACAACTGACATCTTAGTTCTGAAAAGTAACTTCTTCCTACCACATTCTTATTAAGTCTACATGGATAAAAAATTCGAAAGAAAAGAATTAAAACCCCTCCTGGACAAATTCCTGAATAAGCCCCTGGAATAAACGGCAAAAAATGGATATTATAATTTTCTTGAAACCCCTGACAATCTCACGAAAAACTTTTACACAAAACTCTATTTATTTGACAATGTTAAGCCACCAGTTAAACCTGATGTAAACTGTCGAGTGTTGAGAAGAATTCCTGTTTTTTTATTTGTTTTCCTAGAGTCAGTCAGCTGATGTCTCTCTATTCTCTCTCTCTCTTCTTTCTCTCTCGAAGATCCAGAAAGTCGTCTTTTAAATAGATCATTTTACATTTTTAATGTTTTGTTGGTGTATCTTTCGACCTTCGCATGTCCGCCATACTCCACATCTGACCTACGCTACATACGATTTGCTAAACTTCCGACCTATTTACTAACACGTGGTTCAACAGCTGTAAGTTGCACCCAGGCGCGCAACTAGGGGGGGGCCAGGCCCCCCTAGCCTGATTAAGGGGGGGGGGCATGCCCCTCCCTAAAGATCGTCTTGCCCCCCATGTAGGGAGGGGGGCAAGAAGTGACGAACTCCACCCTGTTTTGCAGTTTAGCGATTCATGAATCCTGACCCTGAGCAAATTTAAGAGCTCTTATCGTAAAATAAAAAAAGAAATAATTGAAGGTTAATTGCAGCTATAGTTGCAATCGATATGTAGCACTTAATACACCCAAACACACATGCAGACCCGGCCTTCGTCACCGAGCCTAACTACTGCCGTTATAGATCAGAACAGGTTGACAAGGTTCCAAGGTGACTTAATCTTTCTTTTTTTAATTATGCTGTTTTATCCTGGGAAAGGGAAATGGGGTTTATTAAGTATTTTTTAGATATTTTCACTATCAGTTCTGCCACTTAAATTATGATATTGCTACTATAGTACAACTATTGAGACGGTGCCGTATATTCCGACCTAGATGATTATAACCTAAAGGTTTTCTGACCTAAATATCGAGTAGTTTGCACGTGTTTTAGGTCGGTTTGGTTGAAAAAAGCTTTAGGTCCGTTTGACATCCTATGAGAAATATATAGGTTTTCCGACCTAAGATTTAGAGATATATTTTATAGGTTGGTTGAGCATATTATTAGGTCTGTTTACCAGGAAGTTTAAGTTGGATTAGTGACAATGTTAGGTCTGTTAAGCAATATTTTTAGGTTGGTTGAGCAATTTTTTTAGGTCGGATGAGCAATTTTTTAGGTTGGATGAGCAATAATTTTAGGTCGGATACGCAATATTTTTAGGTCGGATACGCAATTTTTTTAGCTCGGCTGAGCAATATTCTTAGGTCGGATGAGCAAAATTTTTAGGTCGGATGAGCATTATTTTTAGGTCGGATGAGCAATATTTTTAGGTCGGATGAGCAATTTTTTTAGGTCGGATGAGCAATATTTTTAGGTCGGATGAGCATTATTTTTAGGTCAGATGAGCAAAATTTTTAGGTCGGATGAGCTATTTTTTTAGGACGAATGAGCAATATTTTTAGGTTGTTTTACCAATAATTGCCATAATTGTGAACTGTACCACTACTGTTTCAGTAATGCATAAAACGGGGTTTTTCAGGCTCAACACCCGTTGGGGCCTGTACATGCATCTCATATTTAAAACAGTCTTTCCTGGCTGCAGCGCTCGGCCCCCCTAGCCCGTCCTATCCGCAGTGCTCGGCCCAGAATTGAGCTTATCTAAACTAACCCTAAAATAATACTAAATAACTGAAATCATTTGGTAATTTCCTAGAGAACGATTTTTGCTGCTTTTTTACAGGACTTTTTCAACAATTTTCAATTAAATGTAAGACATGTGGCCGCAGTGCTCGGCCCCCTAGCCTGTCCTAGCCGCAGCGCTCGGCCCAGAAATGAGTTTAACCTAACCTAACCCTATATACACTAATTTTATTAAAAATTGTTGAATTAAAGGTCTTTCCTGGCCGCAGTGCTCGGCCCCGTAGCCTGTCCTAGCCGCAGCGCTCGGCCCAGAAAGTGTTCGTTTTCAGTACACGGTTTTTATCCGGGTTCTGGTTTTAAAAAAATCGACTTTTACCCTGATTTAACTCCGCTTTGTGTTAGCAGGGCCCCTAGATTGTATTAGCCGCGTCGATCGAGGCCCCTGCAGCCTGCATCCTTATAGGACTTATAGCCGCAGCGCTCAATGCCCAGAAATTGTCTTAACCCGAACTAACCCTAAAATGATAGAAAATAAAACATGCTGTCGTATAGGTCCGATATTGCAGTTTAAGTCGGAATTACTATTGTATATATATATATATATAACTATACCAAGTCTTTGCAAGGAATTTATGATTCAATTATAAAGAGCCTTCATCCGAACTTTTTTATTTTTGGATCTGCTGGACGCTGATATTATAGTAAACGGACACAAAGAAGTTCGTAGTAAGATTTCGATTCTACTGGAGACCACCGGAGGGATTTTATTTTCACTGGAGGGGTTTCAAAAAATGCTTTTTACAATTTAAAACTTTACGCAGGGTGATTTACATTCCACTGGAGGGATTCAGATAGCCTTCCTAGGGGTTTATAATTCCACTGGAGGGATTCAGTTA